CAAAGTCCTCTCAGCCCGCGTAATACAAATTACATATTTTATGTAATATGCTCCCAGAATATACTGATTCAGTGACTTCACTTAGCCATTTAAGGCAACTTTACTGTGGCGTCAGTTTTCTAAATTGAAGTCATCTGAACTGAAATGTATTCAACTCGATTCGCATACTCTTTTCCTTGAAGGGTTTACAGCCGTAAGACATTTCATAGATCTTCAACTAACAATTTGACTCAGATAACGCCGACTCACAGTTAAAGTGAAACAAAACTTTGCTTAACTTAACAACAATTGGCTATAAGTATAAAGTGAAGAGGTAATTAAAGTGTCTGCAGATGGAATATATTCGAGTTGCTGCTCTGTGCAGTGCATCTCAGAGTCGACCTATTTATTCTGGCACAAGTCCATAGAAAATATAGAGAAAACGCGTCGCCTATGATTGCTTATGTATGAGTTCTCGTGCTGGCTACGAATGCTCAGTTTGTTATTTTTATTGATGGCACAAATGGGTCGTTGTATTCATGCGCCCCTCGTGCCTCGTATTATCCGTGACACGCCTCATGACAGCGGCACATTGATAATACGAAATCGCCACAACTAAAGCCTGGCGATGTCCAAGCGGCCAGCCAGCCCCAAATAAAAACTCAATGTGTAACATACAAAATAAGTATGTGTATGTGTGTGTATGTGTGTGTGTGTGTGTGTGTGTGGGTGCTTGTGTGTATAAAGCAAACAAAAAATCCTTAAAGACACAAATCCAATTGATTTATAAACGGCAGCCACGTTGCGACTCTTGGCCACAATTTGGACGCTTTTCAAAATGGTCGAAAACAAAGGACTTTAAGGACGACAATGGCGCGTGTGAAATTGTGCCATTTTTCATTACTAAATTGTATTTATGCAGTACACACACACACACACACATATATATATATAAATATATAGATTGTAGTCTGGTCGCGGCAGCTGGATTACGTTTTAGCTTTGCCATTGGCTATTGCCGCACGAATCTGAAAGTTGTCGCCGTCGCGACGTAATTGTAAAATTGAAATTGAAAACAAAAACCACACACACATACACACAGAGGGGGACATAAGGGTCACAGTGGGCAAAGACAACAAACAGGGAACAAATAAATTATAAAAATTCAACTTTAATTTCCACTTAGACTTCGCCAGAGGTTCGAGCTTTTGACATTTTAGCTGATTGAACTGATTTGACTGATAAGAAAATATGCAGTTAGCCAACTGTGCGCCACCCGCACACTGATTAGCCAACTGCAAGCTGATAACGACCTCGCTGCACAGACAAAAGTCGAAGAGAAAAAGCTGAGCCACCAGCCGCTAAAAAACTTACGATCTCTGTCATCTTTTGACTTCTGTTTTTTGTGTATGTATGCATGTGTGGGTGTGCGTGTGTATGTGAGGATGGATAAGGGAGCATGTGTTACCGACTGCGGCCCCTCGGCCTGTGAAACCTGTCTGTGCATGTACTGGAAACTTTATGTGCGCTGACAAGTTGAGCACACACACGCACACACATGCACACGCACACGAAGTTGGCGTTGCCGTGGCAAGAGCCCTGGACATGGCACCTTTAGCTAGCTTTCTGCCTGACTGCCGACTGATTTTTCAATGTGCCGCGCCTAATCATGACAACAAAAGGACACACCCCAACAACAACTGCAACATAAAATGGCAACCGCAAGGACAGCAACAAATTGAGAACGGAAGTTTTCTGACAAATAATTTCCCCATACATATTTAAAAGAAAACCATGTGAGGTTAGCTCAATCGACAGTACTCGACTAGCAGATACCCTACACACCATTTCAGTTGTACTTCGGTTGTTCACTCTTTAGCCAAGCTATCTCTAAGTAGTGAAGTAATATTATTTACATCGTCAATTTGGTCACCTTCCATTCTAATTTTATACTTTTACAACTGTGCTCAATGTGATTTCCAAGTGGGCTGTCGCCTTTTGTTTATCCACTGACAATCATAACGTCCCTGTCCAAATAGGCTAAATAGACATCCCGTTCTCACTCAGCAACACCCGACAGCAGCAGCTATCGTTGTCTCTCTCGCTCTCCTCAAATACAAGCCTACGACGCAAACTCACTCGGATAATATTTTTACAATTCTATAAATGCTCTGTCTCATACTAATACTATTACAAAAGTAGCAGCCAATCACGAATTGGGAAACTTAGAAGAAGCTCATATACTTGTACTATATATGTGTACATACAAACATACGGATAAACACTTGTTGATATATCACAAGTTAATATTGATGTACAACTGATAATGGGATATCTTTAGTGCCTGCAGTCATTTCGTCTGCATCAGGCATTTCGTAAAGGTGGCGTTACTGCCACATACTCAGTCTAATAACAGTAAAAATATTTCTGAATACTCTAGTTAGTTGGCTAAAACTGTACATAACCATTTTCTATAATATACGCTTGAGCTAAATCCTTTCGAACAGATTAGTTGCAGTCTATAAAATTTAAACAAATTATTTTAGAATTAACTCTGTGCAAGCGCATTCGTTGGCATATCCTGCAACGGTTTCAACTTGGGTTCAACAGGTCGACAAGCCGGCTGGAGTCGGTGTCGTATACGTAATGCTTATGCGTTTACTTTCTGACATCTCAATTGAGCTTGGTTCAGCTCCTCATCCATGACACAACACCAAACACACGCTCCACCGGCTGGATAGGGCTGCATCTCGACGCAGAAGTTTGTCAGTTATGTGACATCACTGCGGCCGCATTGTGTGGCGCCACAGGCCAAAGCTGAGCTGCACACTTGTTATTTCCGCTAGCCACTTACATGGATATTATAGTTGCAGTGCCTGCAACGTACCGTGCGGCCAGGGTTAACTGTCTGAAACTGATGGCAAGCATTCTACTGAGTTTCTATTGGCGTCCCGTTTGTCCTGCCGCTGCTGTCGCTGAGCTGCTGCTTGCGGCCAGTGGTACATGGCGTCACTCGTTTAGTTGCCGTTTGACTTGCAACTAAACGCATAAGTGCGCCACAAACTTTTCCAATATATACGCCCATTGCGCTGTTCTAAATAACCCCTCGGGCAGCCAAGGGCCTGCAGCGGCAGGTGAATGCAGTTAACTGTAAATGGCTGAGCATATGCACACTGCTGTTACTCCGTTCTTGCCGTAATTACCATTAAATTGCTTTGCATCGTTTAAGCCACAATTCGCAGCCCGCGCCCATTCCCTGCCAGCCACAACTAATTGACTCTTCGAGCACCTTCAACCGTTCAGCTGTAAGTCAAATGCTCGAGTGTAAACAGCGGCCGCGCTTCAATGAACTGCGGCTGACTCCACATAAATTATACAAAGGGTTCTCTGCCTTGCCAGAGTCGACAGCAATCTAATGACAATTAACATCAATAATGCATAGACAATTGGGCGATACAATATAGCTAAATGAGTTTCTTATTCGAAATTGAAGTCAATTGTATATTTCATTAGCAGTCGAGCTGAACGAAGGGCTGGAGTTCATTTCAACTGGACGTAACCAATTCAAATTTTGATGACTTGCGGTCTCTCGTCCAACTGACTGTAGGAAAGGATAGCGGCACAATCCACCTACAACATTCATCTTATCCTAACTTCAAGGCTTTGGCAATGCAATCAAATTCAAGCTGCCCTTCGAAGTACGACTTATCGATAAGAACTGATAATCGAATAGAAGAATTTGCCTTCCCAAGTGCTCAAGCACTGATTGGCCACAAATGACAGTTCATAAGCGAATTATCAGACTCGATGACAGCATTCAGCATTCTTCAGTGATTAGCAATTAGCATGAGCTAAAGCTGTCGCTGTCGCTGTCGCTGTTGCTGTTAGCTGTCACAGTTTGAGGGTTTCTTAGTCGCTGCATCAATCATCAGCTGGACCAGAGTGAAAAAGAGAAGCACATCGAAATTGGCAGTGGAACATTGTGAGAAACAAATTAAATATGCGAATGGGATCTCAGTGACAGTTGCAATTCAATTCCTGTGGCAGCTGATGGATAAGGCAGCTGCAGTGGAACGAAACTGCTTTAAATGCATTGCTGTCTGTCACAGCAGCCACACATAGGCAGACAGACAGAGAGACAGAGAGACCGTCAGACAGACAGACATCCACAGCCGGTCAAACATGGTAAAAATAGTTTCGAGTTATTGGCTCTGCTGCCATGGCAAAGAGATACGTTTGCCGACTTTTTATGCAGAAACTTTTTGTGAGGGGCGTGCCGAGTCTCTTGCTCTTGTTCGTGTTACTGGCTAACAACTGCACAGTTCTGCAACGATGATTTCTAATAGCTTGTAATTTTGGTAAGCAAACACACTCAGAATTCCAGCAAAAGTTTCGCCCAAACTTGCAAATTTGACAGCCCCCGCACCACTTCAGCCCAGAACTACAACTACAAATTTCCCTCTAACATACATAGAATGCAAACTAGTTGCTCAAAGCACTGCACTGAATGGCATATGCCATGTGTGCACTCCATGAACAGTGTGTGAAAAGAGTGTTTGTCCTCTGTAAAGTTGGAAAGATGCTACGCCTTTTAGTTAGCATTACCTGAGTTCCATTTGGCATTTCAAAGCATACATTTTTAGATTTACTATATATTTATATTCCCATACCCATTGAAAGTGGGGAACCAGGAGCATGGCTTAGTGAAAATTTCTGTAACAGGCAGAAGGAGGCATGATAGACCCCTAAAGTATATATATTCGTGATCAGGGCAACGAGCGCCCTTATGTCATAAACCTGCCTATTTCCCTATCGATAAAAATCGATCATTGACTTCGTTGTTTCAACGTCGCTTGAATACAGTAAAACCTAGATACTCCAGTTTCATGATATTTTGGATACCTCCCGGTCCCAACCAGTAAAGCCCCTACTGCAGCCCAAGCGAAGAGCGCGTGCTTGGGAGCCTGTCTGCGGGCTTCGGGTATCTGCTAGTCGAGCAGTCTCTAACAAATCGCTCTGGGTGGTGTTCAAACATATTTTATTTGTGCCTGCATTTTTAAACACACTTAAATTTCCAACTAAAAACAATATAAAAATAGGCAAAAACTAAATTTAGATAGATTCCAATTGTAGAATTTGCCTCATAGGAACAGAAGAGTTATCTTCAAAATTCGCCTCAAATCAAAAAGGAATATGTAATGAGTGCTCGCACTTGAGTAGTCTTCCATCCAGCTCTGAGTCTTTGACAATAGAGAGATTAATTGGCTGATGATTTGCTTTGCTTTGCATTCCGTACGCTCAATGTTTGGTTTAATTTTTGGGTCGCTTTCGTCCAGGTGGGACGACAAGGCAAGGTTATACGGCAGCAGGTGTTTGATTTAACAGTTATTTTATAATCAAAATCCAATGCACGTCTCGGGCGTGGTCACGTGACGAAAAGGTTCATTGTTTGCCTGGCAAAACGAGGCAAAATCAAAATCAAAATGCAAGTCTAACACGAGAGCTGCATGTGCAGACAGTCGATGCCATCAAATACCGCCACGTCCGAGGCAGATGCAAAACTCTGGAAAATGGAATGAGCACAGCAAAGCTCACAACGCCCGTTACATGCTCAGAGTTCACATTAGTTCAAATTAATCTTCACTTTAATTTCAATTTCCCCTCTCACGTGTTTACTCGGCGAAGCTCTGTCTCAACTAACAAATGTAATTCAATTTTTTCTTCTATTTAATAATTATAATTGCTGCTTTTTGCATGGTTGGCTAACTTGTAAAATAAAAGTGCTAAAATCAGTGTAACTGCTGAAAAGAAGAATATCATTAAAGCTATCCGATTGAATGCCAAGCATCTTACCTATGGAACCAATGTACCAAGTGTTTTTTGAGATGTTTGTTCGGCCAGCAGTCTAAATTTTGGAAAGGCAAATGATGGAAATGCGCAGACTAGTTTAATTAAGACTTACCTGGCCTTTTCATAGGCTTAATGGTATAATGAAAATGACTGAAAAGAGAAAATCATTAGAGGCGTAGTACTTGAGAGAGTGCCCGACTAGGAAATACCAGGTATAAATAGCCTAAATATACACATTTATGTGGATACATGTGTATATATGTGTGTGTGAATATATAATTGTAAGCACTAGTATGCATCAATCTCAATGCGTTTTCAAGATCTGAACCTATATTCAACGATACTGAACTAGCAAATGGGACAGACGAACGAACGCACAGACAGACAAATACATCATCGTAAGACAGACTATATATATATATATATATTATGGGAACGGTCATGCCTTCTACCGACTCACATTTCTATGAGGTTCAAGCTTCAATTCAACTTCTGCAATGGAGAATGAAGCGATAGCAAATAAGATTAAAGCTTATGTCGAGGTGGACAATTACCGACCCGTAATAAAGCTGGGTGGAGTTGAAACTAACCTTTGCAATGGAAGTAATTCGGTTATATCTGTAAGAGTGGCAGGCTTTAGGCATTAGATATTTAGAAGGTCCTCCTACGCAGCTCAGCCGAACTGGTATTCTTAACTGGGGTTAAGAGATCGCGCAATGCGTTTTTATGAATTCCTTCCTCATAGTCACTGCAGTATCCGTTGGTGACATAGCATATGAGAGTCTTGTACGTTACAAAAATCATCATGGACAGTTTGAATATGGCCATCGATTGTCGTCTCATGAAGACAACAAATGACGGAAATTTGTTGTAGATGGAGTACACGAAGCTTGTTTCGTAGAATGCGTTGACCTTCTCTTCGGCCACCTGCCAGAACGGATGCCATACGTAAAACATCATAGCCTGGCTAATCATGTAGTAGACTCCCACAGCGACAATAAATATCCAGAGACGATTGAACATCCGCATGTTGATGCGAAGTCTATCGCTGAGGAACACGACCCATGCCAGGAACAGGGTCGCAGTCAGATCTGGCTGCTCCTTGTTTTCAATAACATCCAAGCCAGCTATATATAAGCTTACACAGCACACAACCGATACGGTTGTCGTGGTCGGTATATCCAAATCCATTTTAAGTTTTCGAAAAAGGTATAAATTTGTAAGCCTATGAAGCCGACTTGACTGCTGAACACTAAAATTATTACTGATGCTGATAGACTCTTCGTATAACGTAGCTAACAAAAGCTGTTCAAAAATTCCTATACCTACTATGTTGGGCAAATAACTGTAAAAGTATTTAGGTGAAATATTGATGTTATGAAGAAAACTTGTCTTGCTTATTAGAGGATGAGGAGGAGGAAAGGGAGGAGGAACAGTAGGGGGAGGAGCGGAAGGTGGAGAGATCAATCAATATGAGCACAATAATCTTAAGGCCCGAGTCTTGGTGAAGTATTGAAAACTTATGAAGAAAACGTGTCTTGTTTATTAGAGGATGAGGAAGAGGAAAGGGAGGAGGAAGAGGAGGAGAAGGTAGAGAGATCAATCAATATGATCTCAATAATCATAAGGCCAAAGGCTTGGTATATAGGTGAAGTATTGATAACTTTTGAAGGAAACTTGTACTCTCCATTAGAGTGTAAGGAAGAGAAGGAGGAAGACGAGGAGGAGGAGGACGAGAAGCAAGAGGAGAGATCACTCAGTAAGCGCGCAAGAATCATAAGGTCGAACGCTTGGTATATAGGTGAAATATTGATAGCTTATGAAGCAAACTTGTCCTCTCCATTAGAGGAGGTGGAGGAGAAGGATTAGGAGCTGGAATAGGAAGGAAAAGAAGGAGGACAGATCAGTCAATATGAGCACAAGAATCATAAGGTCGAACGCTTGGTATATATAGAAAACTTATGAAGAACACTTGCCTCCCCATAAGAGGAGGAGTAGGACAAGGCGGAGGAGGAAGACGAGAAGCAAGAGGAGAGCACAATCAATATGGGCACAAGCATCATAAGATCGAGGACTGTAGCTAGCCGGCAGCTAGCTGGCCTTGCTGTGCGATAAGACGCTGGCACGGACACATCGTGTACATCGTGTCAACGTCTCCATCGGCTGCACAAAGCACTCTTTAAGGTAAGGCATAGATACAGGCGCACGAGTTAACACACACGCAACCAAGGATACCAGAGTGCCAGCCAACCAAGGCATTCCTTCTTAGCCACTGGCTGAGCAAAGAGGCCCTGCTTGGTGCGCACGTAGTCAACGAATCGAATTTTAATTTCTGGCCCGGATGGCCTTGTCGTCGTTGCCTTTGTTGGCTCCGAGATTGAAGTTAAAGTTGCGCTAAAAACTTTTGACTGTTTGTCGGCAAAAAGTGACTTTCGGTGGCTGCGTTGCTACAGCGCCTGGCCGCAATGAAGGAGGTCTCTCCACAGAGAAGCTCAAAGCTTGAATAGTTCGCTAGGCAAAGTTTGCAACTGGAACGCAATACGCTAATAGACGAAGCTATATATACATATATATATCTTGTTGCTGGCGCTTATTAAGGCACAAGCCTCAGAGTAATTCTGCCTTTGGGAAATGTGTTTCCGCTTCTCGTCAAAGTTAATGCATATTTGTTATCAAATGTGTTGATGCTACGAAGAATCATTCAACTCATCATCATCTCGCAGGCCCAGCACCAGCCAACACGGATCGAACGTCCGACGTCGCATTACTCCTAATGCCACAATTAGCGAAAGTGTTGTGCAAATTTGACTCGCTTTGAGTCGAAGCCAGCCCACTGTGCGTGTGTGGAGGTCCTTACTGAGGGCATTGTGTGGGCGTGTGTTTTTATTTGAGCACTACTTGAGCCAATTAGGAAATTACTAGAGTAAATAGCTACACATACATAATACGCTACAAACATAAACAACAACTTTTGCCTCGGTCCGGGCTGGGGTTTAAACAACAATGGGCAAAGATCATTTATCATACTCTCGAAAGCGACCGCATGGCCTGTTCCTAAGCACACACAAACCCAAAGCTCGGCAAACTTGAAGCGCTTTAGCAACTTTATCAGATGCGAGATTCATTCGCAAATTAACCGGCATTGTGCGGCTTCAGCAACTACTAATATATCAGCGTCTGTCCGATATGAATATTATATAGTAAATATGCTTCAATAAAAACCAAGAGACCTGATGAAAGCGAGCTGTAACTCATGCAGTGCCAGAGGCTTTTGGCAGCTGTTCAGTGACGATATCTCGATGACTAAAGGATATCTCAAAAAGGGATTTCATAGAGAGCGAGCAGTTCTTTTAGATGCTTTGATACTCTTAGCATATCCTTGTATCACTTTAGTACCAAATTACTTAATCAAGAGCTACCCTTTAGAAATTAGACTGCTAGAACCTCTCTCAGTCTTCTGTAGTTGATCGTATGTTAGTCAGAACAAACTCGTAAGTATATAAGCCTCAAGACATCAAGTCAAGGTTGTGCTCACCATATATGTATATGCCAGTTCCATGCGCTTTGCTGGAACTTTCGCCCACAGCCCAACAACCAAGGCTACGAGTCGTTCAAATATTTCGTGAATGAAGTAATTTTATTAAGCTAGATTACAAGGCATTTCGATGTAGGGTGGAGCCTGTTTAATTCATTTTAAATCCAGTGCGAACCATAGTCAAGTTGTTTCGCCGAACTGTAATTAAAAGTAAATTTGTATTAATGTCTGCTTGGCGCCTTTAAGGCGCCGGGCCGGGTTTCGGGCTTTGTCAACATTTTAATCAAATATGTGTCAGCGCGGACTTATGAAACTAATTGACTTTAACGCCAGCGGCTCCGCCACCCAGCCCGCCCGCTTCACTATGGCATTGTATCTCCTTCGGAGCTGACTGTATAGTAAGTAGCCCGGCCTCAGTTCGGTTACAGCGCCGCTTCAAGAGGAATTAATTAAAAAACTTAATCTGCTTTGGCAGCTGGGCTGTGTGCGGGGCGTGGGGGCTTGGTGGCTTGGTGGCTTGATGGTTTGCTGGTTTCGCGGTTTGATGCCTCCACTAGCTGCCTGGCAGCCTTCAATCCGCTTGACAACGATTTACTTAAGGTCTACTTAGTAAACTGGAATCCCATTAAATGCTGCCCACATTTGACGGCAAGGTGAAAAAACATCAAGCAGCAAACATCAGAGTAATGTTTGCTCCCTCCAAACTGTACCCTAATAGAAGTTTCCAAATGTCCCAAATAGTTAACAGTGCAACTTAGGCACTGTCGCTCGATCGCTCCAGCCTTAATTGTGTTTCACTCGCAGCTGGCATTTCGCATTGCTCAATCTTTCCTCATTTTGAAAGCCCATTTCCTGGCCCTGCTCAGCTTCTGCCCTTGTCCCTTGTCGCTTCAATTTCCATTTCTGGCTGCCCGCTACAGTTTCATTGCGAAAAGATAGTTTCCGATGCCAACTGTGAAAATGCCGGCCCTAAATGTGGCCAGCGACTGCTGGGCTTCAGTAAGCTGACCAGAATATTAATTAATTCACTGGCCATCGGAAATCTGCCTTCTGATTGAACGATGACGCAATAGTGGAAAACGTACAAGTTCATATATCAGTTTCCCTAATCCATCCAAAGCCAGCTCGTCCGCAGCTGGAGCAGAGCTAGGCTGGGCCAAAGTATGACCCGCGGAAACCATATTTACATCAGATCAGCATGCATTTATAGTCAGAGCTTATATCAAGTGCACTTCCACAAGTGCTCTTGACTCAGTTAATGCATGTATTTTCGAGCTAATTAATTATTGATAATTAATGAACAGCAGCTGTTATTGTTTCCGACGTTCGCCGCTGTTTACGGCCAGCTACCCCGCAGCCACTCGGCTGATTTTATAGCGCGGCTATAAAAACCTCAATTAGATTGAACACAAGGCTCATAAAAACCGCACGAACAGCAGCAGCAGCAGCAGCAGCAGCTCTAATCAGTTAACTCAACTGCCTCAACCTCCATCTCAGCCTCTCTCTGTCTCTCCCACTCTCTGCCTGGTCCGCCACTAATTGAAATAATTGAAATAATTAGCACAAGTTGATTGTGGGCGTGGCACACATGATTGACTCCCAGCCATAGGTAGCCAAAGCAATTGTTGCGGCTTATGGGCAGTCCACGCCACAACAAGCACAGCAGCTGCATTATTGAAGCCTTCCCTCTTCTCCGCCCTCATGGCTCTTGCCTCGGCTTCCAAGTCGAAGCAATTTTAGAGCCTCTCAACTCACTCAGACTCAGAAATGCAACCGCTTGCCCCGCCCACTGCTTGGTCTGTGGGCACTCGGGCAGAGGAGCGAGCTGCCCCAAATGGACTGATGGAGTTTGGAAACCAACTCAGAAACTGGCGAGAGTTTGACTATAGACAAAAAGGTATTGTATCACGGCTGAGTGTGTCTCCATAGCAACCGCTTTGAAGAGTCCAACTACAAGAGATGGGAGCTGGAAGATACGTTGTTGCATCATGAACAGCAGTTTACAGATTACATCTTATTTATGTATGCTTGTGCTTGGACTGGCTGCATTCACAGCTGGTAAAGCTCTAAAAATAATAAGCTATTGCACGTCGAAAAT